CCTTCCCAATGAAAAACCACAGTTAATGTGGTATTGACCTTGCTGCAACTTTGCTGTGCTTTCCTCATGCTTGGAGAACCAGGTGACTTCCATAGTGACAACTGGGCCTGCATTTCTGGATCATAGCCACAGACCCATATTTCATCTCCAATTTTGATCATCTTGAGAAAATCTGGTTGATTGGTCTCAGTTTGAATCAATCATTAGCAAGTGCAGCACGATATTCCTCCTGCTCAGGTAGCAGAGGCCACTGAAGGGATTTTCCCATGCTAAGATCCTGCATCAGAATCTAAGACACAGAGGAGGAAGACGGCAGTGAGGTAGGAGGGAGCAGATTCCACTGCTTCCTACACATGTGAGAAAATCCTAGCTGATCTACAGCAGAAGAGAGCAAACTGCCTGCAGTACCCCAGCATATATGAAAATAGGAGACCAAAAATTGTAGAGGATGTTGAAAAACCAGATGGTAAGGATAGTACTTCAGGACAATAAGGTCCCAGTGACCAGTGTGGGGACAAGGGTGGCTGCAGCCCCAGGCCCCTCACCCCCTGGGTCTGCCACAGGGTTCTTGGGAGAGAGCTGGATCAACTGCTCCCTCCACAGCCAAACAAGATTTGAACAGCACTGGAAGAGACCTTGTTGCTTGAAGTGCAGAGAGGGAAATATGGACTAAGTAGCCAACACACAGGGACTGTGCACACCCACAGAGACTGTGGATGCCTGCCTGGGAGTGTTGAGAGTTGGGCCTTAAGGGGTCCTGACCCAGAAAGTCCCTAGTCTGGCTGGAGAATTGGGCTGTGCGTGAGGCCAGGCCATTGTATGGAGTGGCAGGCTTAAGGAGGAGGAATTTCTCAACAAGCAAAAGTGAAAAAAGAGACACTGTTTGGGGAATACTCCTGCAGCAGTCACTCTGGCCTCCTCCCCAGTCAGTCAGGCAATTCTGAAGCCTGTAACCTTGGAAAGAGTGTGGGCCAGAATCTGTGGGACCTGAGTCCACCTTGCCAAATGTGAATGCCCAGAAACCAGGAGCGTGCACTCTGTAGAAGGCCAGGAGCCCACATTTGTAACCCTGGGGAGAGTGTGCTCTGAGGAAGGCCTGGATCCCACACCAAGGGCCTATGGAGAGGTCCCAGGCTAGCCCTGGGGAGAGTGCACACTAGGCTGACTAAGTGCTGATCAGCATGGGAGAAGGACAAATACCATATGATCTCACCTTTAACAGGAACCTAAACAACAAAACAAAGGAGCAAGCAAAATATCACCAAACACATTGAAATAGAGAACAGGCTGACAGAGACCAGAGGGGAGAGGGGAGGGAATTTCAGAGGAAAAGGGGAAGGGTTGATAGGAACAATTATAAAGGACACAGGGACAAAAACTAAGGGGTGGTACAAATGGGAGGGAGGTGGGGAGGGGTGAGGGAGTGGGCTCAGATGGGAGTAAAAAAGAGAAAACTGTACTTGAACAATTAAAATTAAAAAAAAAAAAACTAAGACACAGTAGTTTTTGGAATCCCCAGATCAGCTGCTTGTTCATGCATTGTCAGTTGCCCATCTTTGTTGAATACAGACCTTACATTCTCAGGTGTTTTGTTGGTTGTAGACCTTCCAGGACATGGGTTACTTTTACTAGACTCTCGACCACCTTTGAAGCATTTCTGCCACATTTTATTGCTTGCTCTGCACTCATTGCACCATCTTTGAAAGCTTTCTGAATCATCCAAGTAGTTTCCATGGAGGAATGTTTAAGCTTATCACAAAATTTGGTGTAGGTTCATTGCTCTATACTTCCTCAGTCATTCTGAATGTGACAGCCACACAGTACACATGCTCAGTCAGTGGAGTCTGCTGCCCCCACTGAATAGTGCAGTGCAGTTTTCATTGTTCACACATGTGCATTCCAGTCCACTATCCTTGGCTGCCATGTTACAATGGTGTCATGCAAACCATTCTCATTACATTAACAATGGCTGGACTTTTTTCAGACAGATATCATATACAATTACGGGCACCTGATATTTTAAAAAGTCACACTGAAGTAAAAAGAGTAGGTAATATTATTATTATTTTTTATAAGTCAATTAAAATTATACCTACATTTTTTCACATCTGCAAAAAACACTTTTTGGTGTGTCACAGGATTTTAGTAATTAGTTAATTGTGCCATTACAGGTGAAAGGTTGAAAGTCACTGGTCCAATGACACAGACAGCTGTTATGTAATTAGTAGTTGGGTAACACAAACACTTTGAATATCCTCTGTATTCTTCATTTCTTTTAATTCTTACTGTATGAGAAGGTGGATGTTAGCTGAACCTATTGTGATAATCATTTTGCAACAAATGCAAATCAAACATGAAGTAAATTTTAGTTTCTTTTGATGCCCCTGTGTCATTTAAATTGTCCTTCAGAAGTTTGTCATTTAAAGCACATATTCCTATTAAATTAAAGACAATTAGTAGTGTTTGAAAATGAATCAACAAATATGTAATTAGTAGTTCTGTAACAATTTAATCTCTGCCATGGTGATATAGTTCAATATTGTTTAATGTTTTATCCTTCACAGAGATATGATCTTTTCCAAGGGAAATCTAAATAACAGTTAATAGTAATAAAATGAAGGAAGGAATCTTAAGAAGCAAGGCAAAAAATTGAGAAAAATGTATGACATTAGTGATTGTGACAGTTACCATAACAATGAAAATGTGATTTTCAGAATATTGCTGACAAGTGTCATCAAAAATCTATTGTTTATGGAATTATGATTTTAAAATTGTTTCCATTGTGATAGAAATGGCATAATGAGAATATAAGGAAGAGAAATATGCAAAGCCAAAATTAAATAACCCTGTCTAGGAGTAGAATTTAAACATGTAACAAATTCTTAACCAGGTCTAAGATTTCAGAGTCTGTGATTAAGATGGAAGTAAATTCACAGCATAAGTGCTCCAGTCTTTGTCCCCTAATACCTTTCAGAGTAAGAATACAATTTCTAGATGCATTTGTCAATGGACAAACTGAATGATACACTAACAGCTCCAAATCTCCTAGATTCTGGAGGTGTGTGATGAGATACACAGTCTTCAAAATAGCCCAAGTGTAAGAATTCCCTGTTTAAATGTTAAGTGACACATTAATGAGAAACTTGCTTTTTCTGCTCTTGCCTCACTCTGGGCTTTCACAGGTCAGTCTGTGAAGAACACAGAGATTGTTTGTCTACAAGACTAAGCTGGTCTCTCACTAAAGGATGCAGGACTTCCTGGCTTCCAGAGGTATCTGTGTGTCTCTACTCTCCTGTCTCTTTATTATTCCACCTCATGTATGGGGGAGATTACAAATGATAGATGTGATACAAGTGAGGTATGATTAATATACAATCAAATCAAAGAGAATATTGGTATTTTATTTAAATAATTTAGAGTAAAAAATCAAGAATAAAATATAAAATATGTTGCAGGATGTCTTGAACTATTCCAATTCTTGCCTGTGGACAATTCTCAAGTGTATATACATGAGAATAATTGAGTGTATTAATCAAAACCATTTAAAGTGAAAATCCTATAAGAATTATGAAAAGGAACACATATTTTTTGATTTTATAATCAATTTATATATAATTATATATTATTTTATATTTAGCCCAGACTTTAAAAAGGTTTTTTGAATAAATTATATTAATTATGGAGGTCAAACATAGTATTTTATATACTTTATTAGGTTAAATAAATGTAGTTGGCTTTCAATAAAAATCAGGATGAAGTACTCTCATAGAATTCTAATTGAAGCTTAATAGTAAACAAGCAAAAGACTTTTTAGAAATTGAGGCACCATTGCTGGGAAATAAACCACACTGATAGACACTTTGCCTAATGAATTAAGCACAGCATGGAACTGGTGTGAATCAGAAATAACATAAAAATATGTTCAAATTATATTTAGGATAATTATAATATTATTGGGAGCTTAAAATGGTTAAATATTAAATGCTTTACATGTATTTGTCTACATGTTTTTATTCCCATTTTATATTAGTAAACTAAGTTGTAGGTCAACTAAGTAGCTTTGTAAAGATCATATGTTGTAAATTTCAAAGCCAGAATTAATTTTAGAACTCACTGGCCACTGAACCCATTGACTAAATCATTAAGTTACACCATCTGATTCATAACTATGGCTCACACAACTGAAGGTGCCCTGAGTTTAACATGCATGGGAACTGTCTGGATGTTTGAAACAACAGTGTTGTAATATAAATGATCTACACGCATTTATTTCTCATTGTATACTTTTATATCTTTGCCCTTAATTGTCAATTTCTTGTGTCAAATAAGTACTTTGAAATTTTCACTGTTGTGGTTTTGTTGTCAATATTGTTTAGGTCTTAATAAGTTTAGCATAACAAAGATTTTTAACATGTGAATCATTATATTTGCAATAATTTATCATTCAAAATACAAGATCATTTGATAACAACTCATCCTCTTTAATGAATAAATGTATGTCACTAAATAAAAATTTAGTTCAGAAATTTACTAGACATGCCAACACGAATAGTGCCCCATCTTGAGGGCACTTAGTTTTTAATCATTATTCAATTTCAAATATATCATAAATGTTGTGTCTCTTTTTTCTAATATTGCATTTTATTTTTAATACTAGCCTTGTAATGGTGTTAAAATATTTTTGTGAAATCAGACTATAAATAAATAAAGATATTATGAAACTATTTTATTCATCACTAACATACAGCTTTTTATTGCTCAAACTAATAATACATTGTAAAATGTAGAATATTTCAAATATTGTATCTACCTGAGGCACTTGTTTAAAGGTGTAAGGAATTTACAACCAGAAATTTAGATTCTTCAACTGGGAAATGAGCCCAATACTCACCCTCCACCCCGCCCAGTGTCACTGTGAGGGATCTCTTCAGTGTGTGTGTCAGTTATTCGTAAGCACACATGGTGTAGAGCACAGTCTCAGCCAGCACTCAGCTGCAGACATGAGTGACCACAGAGTAACCTACACAGAACTGAATCTGGTTAAGGATGCAAAGAGACAGCACATGAAACCTAAGGGCACTAACGGCTCCACTCCAGGAACTGAGCAGGAACTAACCTATGCACAGTTAAATCTTCAAAATGCTTCTCAGAGTCTTCGAGGGAGTGACAAGAATGACCACTGCAGAGGTAACACATTCAACAGACACAGTATAACTGTTCTAGGATGTGCAGCTGGGTGCAGACATGATGGAAAGGGAAGAGGATACGCTCGCATATTTTTTTCATCTTAAGGATCAGGACTTGAAGTTGGCATATGTTATTCTCAGATAAAAGCTGAGGACTAATTTTATTCAGATATTTTTGTAAGTTGCAGTCTTTACCAGTAACTTGTAAAGCATTATATTTAGTGAAAATGCAGTGGTATATTCTGAGAGGAAGATTATGGCGGTAGATACAGGTTTGGTGTCCAAGTTTATGTACATGATTCTCTGTGTGTAAACTGTCCAAACAATTGTCTCCATCCCTCCTTTCTCAGTGTTTCCATTTCCCTCCCTGCAGCATCTCTGTCACCTCCAGAGAAGCTTATTGCTGGGATCCTAGGAGTCATCTGCCTTGTCCTAATGACCACTGTGGTAACAAGAGCTGTTATTCTCTGTAAGTAAATCATTGTAAGATTATATGAAACTCTTCACTTTTGTGTTCATCAGTGGCTCCAAACATTTCATAATATTATAGAATAGAACTTTCATTTTAAAGTAGGCCTTTAGAGTAAGTGCAAATTTGTTATTCTAAATTTGTCCAAAGTATAAACATCTGCATTATTTAGAAAAGTAGCATATTTAAGTCCTTTGTCTATTTTTTAATTGGGTTGTGTGTTGTCCTGGAGTGGAGTCATTGAGTTCTTTATATACTTTGGAGATTAAACCTTTTTTCAAGGTGTCATTGGCAAATATATTTTCCAAAATGTTCACAGAAGCACAATTCACAATAGCCAAGTGCTGGAAGTAACCTAACACTACCAGTAAATGAGTGGGTGAAAAACAAAACAAAACAAAACAAAACTGTGGTACATTTATAAAATGGAATACTATGCAGCCGAAAGAAAGAAAGATCTATCCTTTGCAACAGGATGGATGGATCTGGAGAGCGTTATGATAGGTGAAATAAACCAGGATGTGAAGGACAAATACCATACGATCTCACCCATAAGTGCAACCTAATCAACAAAACAAACAAGCAAGCAAAATGTAATGAGTAACATTGAGTTAAAAAACAAACTGACAGTCACTAGAGGGGAGAGGGATAATGGGGGAAAATATGGGAAGGTTTATCAAGGAACATGTTTAAAGGACACATGCACAAAGACAAAGGGGGTAAATTTGATAGTGGGAGGTGGGGACGGGGGCTGAGGTGGCGTGAAAATGGAGACAACTGCACTTGAACAACAATAAATATATAAACAATAAATAATAAATAAAAATTTCAAAAGTAGTATATACATATCTCCTATATATCCACATATATTCTTGTCTTATAATTCAAGGTGTGCTTTAGGACACTTTATTGAGAAAAAGAAATAAATTCTTCAAATTGACGAATCCAAACAGTGTAAGAGTTGCTGAAGTTTGGTTCTCAAGGCTTCTGAAATATTTTCTCCCAAATTATCATAGCTTAATTAATTTTCTTGATAGGATCAATTTTATTGGAGGTTATTTTAATCCTAGACAATATACCACATTTCAAAGTAAGAAACAAAAGTATTTTGATTTATATAGATCAACATTAATTTTTTATAATCATTACTTCTTTTTCTAGCTAATGCAATACTGGTGCAGAATAGTTCTTCTTTCTTGTACATAATGTAAGTTGTATATTATTTTAACAGGGAGCCAGATAGAGAACAAGAGAGGGAACCAGACAACTGGGAACCAGAAAGGTACACAATTATTTCTATGTACTGATATTAATACATTTCCTACCTTTTGTCTAACACAGTCAAAATTTATAGGTTCTTTTTTGGGGGGAGACAGGGGGAACATAAATTATAATACTGGGCAGTAAATGTACATAAATAATGAGTATAGAAGAGTATATTTCTTATGCAACAATATGAAGAAATATTCATTTAATTTCATCAGACTCGTCAATTGGTTGGAAGAAAATTTTGGTATTGTAAAAATGTGTTTTTTTTTCACTCACGTTCAGGACATATAGAAAGTGGATATTTTTATTTTGTGTATTTGCTTAATATGGGCACATGAACTAGGGAGTGAGAGCTTGGCCCTTCTCTGTGAGTGTGTGTGACTGTGTATGAGTTTATTATGCATTACATATACCAGTCTGTAGGGGTATATACATATACTGTGCTCTAATTTGTCCTTACCTATGCAAATATTGAAATTAATTTTCATTTTAAAATTCATTTTGTTCTTGGATAACAATACATAATATTTTCGCAGCAATTCATTGTGGTCGATGTCCACCAGAGTGGTTCACATATTCCAGCAACTGCTATTACATCAGCACTGAAGGAAAAACATGGAATGAGAGTTTGATGGCCTGCGCTTCTAAGAGCTCTAACCTGCTCTATATAGATAATGAAGAAGAAATGGTAAGATTTTTAGTGTTTCCAACATTTTATTTAAAAGAGTATTTTATGTTATATTTTATAGACTTCATTCATATTTTTGTATCTATCTCAAATGTATTGTAAAATTTTTAATATTTTGTTTGACTCTGTAATATTTTATTTATATTTCATGCCATTAATGCACATTTGATAATTTACAATTCTTGGTTTTCATGGACAATCAGGCTTCTATAAATGCTCCTTTCCTAAAGTAAACTTTGCTACTTAATTTTACCATGCGTCATGGATACTATAGATGTGCTTGTGCATGTTACAGACTGAAATTGGTCATGAAATAGGTGTTGCCAGCCCACTCATGTGAACTCTCTCATAAATTCTCCTCTCTCCTCACTTAACCAATGTTCTGAGATTTTATATTACAAATTATTTTTGCTCAATTTTGAATTTTATGTAATTGGAATAATTCATTATGCATTTTACATGTCTCCATTGAATCCCTCATGATTTTTTTCAATTAATCCACATCATTGAATGTAGTACCTGAAGTTTTTTAATTCTCACTGTTATATGGTATATACCAGCCATTCTTTAATCTATTCTACTCAATAGAGATGTTTACAATATGTGGTTATGAATAGTTATTTAATAAAAACCCTTGCATATGTCTTTTTTCCAAACAATATATAATATTTAAAACATATTAAAAATAACTTATCTACAACACCACATATATAAAGTGATATACTATAAATTCTATGTTTATAATAATATAATAATAATTTATAAATATAATTGTTATAATGCTATATGTATATAATTAAAATGTATTGCCTTTTTGTATCAGATTATAATTGCAGGGTATGTGTATGTGTAAATATATGTGTATGTAAATTATCCCAATTTCTATGTTATATAAATACACATTATATCCAGTAGTTTTGTGATTCAAAGCTTAGTACTGCCAGAAATTTTAATGCCATGAGCTCTAATCATTATACAAAAGCATCATTATGACATTGATAGGTATTTTCCTCATACTGATTAATTGAACATATTTCTCAGAGCACCATTCATTACGAATGTCTGTACTATGAGAATGAGAAGTGTCCATTCATGTCTCTTGAGCATTTCTCCTGTATGTTACCTGTAATTTTCCTTCTTAGAAGTAGTTATACTTTGAATGTGACTCTTTTGTGAATGTGTAAGATGCAAATGGATTTCTTGAATGTTAATTACATTTTTCTTCTCATAATGGAGTGTTTTAATGACCAGAACTTATCAAAGCTACTATAGTCCAATATCTCGTTTTGGGTGTTGGTGATTATTTTGGACATATTTCACAAGTTAGTCAAAATTCAGGAAGATAATCCACTGCTTATTCTTTTTAGTTTATCATTTTTCATTGATGGGTTTTTACATTTAGGTCTATAATACTTTGAGAATGTATATTTTTGAAATGCTGTGTTTGTGATGCTGTGTGGTAGAGGTGAAGTTTGTACTTTTCTGCATCATTACCTAGTTGATATGGCATAATTTATAGCAGATGATCTTTTCTCCATAAACAACTTTATATATGTGGGTCTATATATTTTAACATAAAATTTAAGAAGATGATCATTCATTGTGTCTCAAAATTATTATTTGGTGTTTTTCTGTCTCTATTCTCAGGCAATAATTACAATGATGTTGGTTTTACTTATAAAGTTCTAAAGGTTTTTAGAGGCTCTGTTAATTTTTCTCTCTCTCTCTACCTTCAGGAATTAATCATTTCTATCAGTCCAACTTTATTTCATCAATTCTTTCTTCTACATCTCAATATTTATTTAAATGTATTGAATATTATAATGTAGATAATGATTTTTCAACTGGTAATTTTGTTTTGTTCATTCATACAGTTTTTATTTCCTTAATTGTCCTGTCATAATTAGGGAAATATTTCATCATATTTCCATAGAGTTTTTGGAACATAGTTTTTAAAATACATTTTAGATAAATATTTATTTATAATAATTACTATTAAATATTTGGAAAACAAATCCAACATCTTATCCCAGTGAAAATTATTTTGTATGATTGATTTATCCCCCTGAGTTTGGAAGATATTATTTAGTTTCTTTGCACCGTTTTAAAATTTGGGTAAATTCACATTGTCAATAACATAGTATAATAAACATGTGTCCTCCTACATGCTTATTAGATTTATACTTTTGTAACTTCAGTAAACTATTACTGTAGAATCATCTCTTTTGAAGTGTGCTTACTCATTTTTTAAAAATTCTTATTATTATTTTACTTTTAGGCTCAATTATTGGGATTCCCCTTGGGCCTGCATAGCTTACTTGGCACCCAAGGATTTTTTAAAATGTTTTCAAATACCTCAAGTCAGTATGGCTCCACCCTCTGCTACTTGTTGTACTTGTGTGTGTATGTGTTTGTAAGGCAGTACTCATAATTTTAAAATCCATTCTCAAATAACTTTGAGTTACATTTTTTTATTGTATCATCTTTGTTTCTTCTACACAGTCAAACTTTTTACCCATCAACCAAGTACATGTAGGGAGTTAATATCATCTCTTGTACTGTGCTCTCACATTGAGTACCTACCTGCTATATTTATGGCTGGCACTGTGCTTGACACAGACTAGAAAAAGGATGGTCTTCCTCACTTTTAGTCTAGTAAATTCAGCCTTTGGCCTGAAGAAAGAGTGGGCAGTTTAACCACACCTTCCATAGCTAATCAGACTTCTCCTGTGGCAACACCAGTGATGTTTTTGCACTCCCCAAACAGTGAAAATTGAGTTTCTTACTCAGGAACTGAGATGGGGATCAGGGGGTTCATGGGAGCAGTCTTAGACATGAAGGCTACAAATTTGCTCTATTTTCACTGGAATCTCTAGCTTCTTTTTCCAATAATAAATACTCACATTATTTTTAATCTTTGATCAAATTTCAGAGATGTAAAATTGCAATGTTTGTCCATTCACCTAATCATTCTAATACATTTTCTTAATGTGTCCAATATATAAAACTATATTATAAAGTGAATCACTATAGCCTAGAAAAAATTAACTATACTTGGTTTTTCATTTCTGAAATCATCTTTAGATAGGTTGCAAATACACAATTTAGTTACTTAATATTTTATTTGATTCCATTTGAAGTCTCATAAAATACAAACTATAACCTATTTAATTATCTTTCTATATTCTGATTAGAATGTTAAAACAACATTGACATAGGCCCATTCCAGGTAGGTCAGCTGCTTATAACATCATCCAAAACCAGTCAGGGTGCTGGTTGATGCCCCATCATGCACATACAAGAAGCTGCCAAGGAATGCCACACTAAGTGGACTAACTGATTGCTCTCTCTCTCTCTTTCAAATAAATAAAAATAAAGTAATAAGCAACAACATTGATTTAAAAAGGGAAGTGAATTAATTGGCATACATGTAATTCCTTTTAAAATGAAGAATGTTAAAAATGATTATCTATGTCTGAATATTACATATAGCTCAAAAGCTTGTGCATTTTCAAACTTTTATCAAAAAGTTGTTTTTTTAAATGATCAGTTCTGAAAACAGTCACTGCAATGCAGACACAACATGGAGAATATAGTCAACAATATCCTAATAAATATGTGTGGTGTCAGTGTTAGATGGGCCCCAGGTCAATTGGGGTGCTCATCTCTCAAAGTATACACAGGTCCAAAACAATATTGAATGAGAACTGTAGGCAAAAAACAAATTTTAAAAAGTCACTCTTCAAAATGTGTTCTCTGAAAATATCAGTGTTACATTTTTCTAAGGCCAATTTATTAGTGTCCAAAATCATTCTCATTGTTTAACATTAACGAAATCTGCACCAAAATTCAAAACATACAAATAAAGACCATGGGCAAAAGCCTTATAATACATTCATTACAAATATAAAGGTTGCCCTGACTGGTGAGGCTCCAGGGGCATGGCTCTGTAAAGGGAAATGTCACTGGTTGGATTCTCAGTCAGAGCACGTGCCTGTGTTTTTGCAGGATGAGTCAGGGATCCAGCACAGGAGAGGCAGCTAATTGATGTTTCCCTTTCTCCCTCTCTTCCTCTTTCTCTAAAAATAAATACAAATGTTAAAAAATAAATAAAATATAATATAAAGGTTTAGACTTTTGTTTTAATCTCCCATACTAGTGCAGTTGTAGATTTGTAGTTTTCTTTGAAGTCTTGTGCATTTCACAGCGACATGAATGGTTCTCTTTCTCATATTCTACTGCCCTTGACGGGTGCTGGTTGGCTTGTTGCACATGCACCCCTGCACTTTCAACTTGGCTTCTATGTGATTACACCTCATTGCTCATGAATTTTCATTCCCAGATCTTTAAAAAGTTTATCAATATCCATAATATCAGCTTCAAGTTGCCTAAAAGAAGTCTCTCTGATGAATGAGATGGAGGTCATCCTCTGTAATTCCCTCATCCTGCACTTGACCTTGAGAGTGAGTTTGGCTTTTCCAGAACACAGGATTCCTTTTTTTGAGCTCTCCTCAGGAATTCCACCAGATGCTCTGGCACAGGCTCCCCACTCATGCAAAGCACTCTTTCCCTCTCTCAGCTGCTGGCCTTTGGAGAGTTGATCAGTTATGTTGTGAATTCAGCCACTAAAAATTAACCTGTGTTTTTCTTTCACACTGTTCACTGAGGGTGATGGGAAGAGATACAGACTGTTCCATGGACTTCTATGTTCCTTTGACCAGTTGGCTTTAATATGGTTGCTTCTTGTGCAGCTGTTGTCTCCAGTCAGGTGATTCTTAATGTGTTCCGCATTGATTCAGAGTCCTTTATTTTTCTACACAAGGTCGTGTGATCTTTGCATGTTGGATATGCTGGACCAGCTGGGTGGGGTGACCAACAAGTCCTAGATCTCAGGATGTGACTGATTGCTTATTCACTAATGCCATCAGATGTTGATGGGCTGTACAGTTTATATAGACGTCACCTCCTCCTCTAACTATGAGTGAACTTGATTTGTTTTTACAAATACAGATTAATATACCAGCTTTTACTTAATTTTTTATAAAATTTGTTTTCTCATAGAAGTTTTTGAACATATTTGAAATAGTTCCATGGATTGGATTGTCCCAGAGAAATAATACTAATTCTTGGGCGTGGACAACTGGCACAACTCTCTCTCCTGAACTGTAAGTTTCTTTAGAACTCACATATTTATTCCTTCATGCTTTCAAATCAGGAACTAATCTTAGAAATAAAAAGCAATGTGTACACAGTATGTGAAAAAATATTTAAGTGTTTTTTTAGAAAAGTTTAAGAAATATTAAGATTTACTATGAAACTATTACTGTGAATAGTTTATTTATTAAAATGTTAACATATATCACCAGATTAATAATTTCTTATCTCTGCATTTCAGGTTTTCAAAAACTTCAGAGTTGGACAAGAATTGTGTAACTGGAAATTTTAAGGCACACATATTCCGTTCTGAATCCTGTTTAGTAAACACTAAGTATATTTGTAAGCACCAGTCGTATTAGCTTACCTAAATTTGGTATAATGTTACTCTCATCATCCCTACAGAACAAATTTCTAGCTTCTTCAGAATGCTGCAATTATTTTTGTAAAACTGATTTTTAAGAAATTATTTTCAGACCAGTTACGGTTTCACCAGAAAAATGAAAGGAAGGCACTGACATTTCCCATGTTCCCCCTGTCCACCTGGATGCAGAGCAACCCCATTATCAGCATCACTCAGCAGAGTGGGACATTTGTTACTGAGAATGAGTCTATACTGACACACCGTGGTCACTTAAAGTCCGTAGTTTTTCTTATCCTTTATCCTTGGTATTGGAGAATTGTTTTAAAATCTATATTTATGTTAATCTTTAAAATATATATCCAGATACCTATTAAACATTTTTAAATCTTTTGTTACTTATTAAATATATCAAGTATAAATTATGAATTATAATATTAAGTGTTGTTATATCTAAGTCTACAGTAACATGAATAATTATAGACATATCTTGAATATAATTTTCCTAGCCTTTGAATATTGAAAATGAGGACTGAACATACCAGGATAACAAGGTATGTATGGCAGTTGAGTCAGAAGAGAGAAATCACGGATGATTTAATGAATTATTAAGTATTTGGGGGGCATAGCCTGCAGAGAAGAGTAGAAGAACATTACAAAATGTACTGTAGGGTTAATCAAAGAAGATTACCAAATGGAAGGATTATATGATACCCAGGGCTTCCTCCTCAGTACAGTGCTGGGGTCCAGCCTCAGCTGGGCACTGGGAACCGCCTTGCCTGGTATTGGAAGCTGTAACCCCCGCCAAGGCTAAGACTGAGGGAGTGGCCTTGGACTGTAAACCAGCAAGGAGACAAAAGCTTATCTCCCTGGCAGGAGCACTGCTTCTGCTGCTTCATTCATAACTGAACCCCAAAGCTTGGTTGCTAGCCAATGATGGGTAAGATTCACCAAGGGGGGAATGATCTAAGATAGGCACAATCACATGGGAGGCCCCCAAGGAAGGACTTTGGGGGCTACAGCAAAAGGGGGTAATGGACCCTTGCTCCTCAGCTATGATATAGCCTGAGTCCTCTTTGTCTAGAAGAAAATGTCCTTATCCCTTGGCTGCCTTAGTTCCCTTGCTCCACCTAAGCCTGAAACAATGACAGGGTGGTGCAGCTATGTGCTGAAAAGGGCAAGTTCCCTGGGTGATCAGGCCTAAGAAAGAATATGTAAGATCCTGTGAACCTGCTTTGTTTAGAATGCTCTCAGTTGAATGATAAGGGTCCAAGGAAGAAGTAAGTTTGTTCTTTCAAGTTTTATAGCTCTTTGACCCTGACTCAAAATAGGTCCTCAGACTTCCTTGTTATCTATTGTTTGATCCCTACTTCCTAGCAATGAGTAAGGAGCTTTTACCTGAATTCTTATTTCATATGATACCAATAAAAAGCCTCTCTGGAGGGGGAACAGGGTGCTCTCCCCATGTGAGGAGTGGCCAAGCGGTGTCCTCCAGGAGAGAAGGTGGCCAAAGGCACTCCCATGTGAGGAGTGGCCCTTCTGTTCCTCTTCACCCACAGGACCTGGTTGTCTCTGTGTATGTTTTTAGCGTGTTTAGACGAATATCCGCAGTCCAGATGGATACTGCAGGCCAGTATCCTCTACAGCAGGGTCTCAGAGTCCCTGAAGGATGCACAGCTAAGGCAAAGAGACAGACACCAGATGTGGTGCCAGAGGACAGCCAGGCTCTCTAGACCTGACTGACTCACCAAGAAAAATCAATCTTTATTTTTATAGGGGAGGTTACACAATATTCAATACATAATATGGTTATTAAAACAAAAACGGTTACCATAGAAATAACTTCGGAAAGTACAGAAGGTTTTACAGATCAATCATGTTAAACAAAGAAATAACCAAAAAGTACAGGAAGTCCCAAAGATCGACCATATTAAACAAAGGTTACTTTAAACAAGATGGTCATTAATCAGATAGCCAATGATCTCTATGAGCACAAACTTTCTAATGCTGATTATAATTAAATATCTACTAAATTTCTATAGATTGGTCAAAATCAAAGGGGTATAAGGAGTGATTTAAAAATTAGTTATTGTTTATAGAAATTAGATTGTCTAAATTAGGTAAATGATTTTTTATCTAGATCTGTTAACTACATATCTGGGGGGGATATTATATTTCCATGTACTAAGATTATTATATTTAAATGAAAACTTCTTCCTCTTCTATTTACCTGGTCCCATCAATAACCGCTCCTGCCCAGGGCATGGGAAAGGCAATGGTTCTAATAAATCTTGAGCTTTTGAATGGTGACTCCCTAGACATTCATATCAAAGGCCTCCTACAGCGTTCTGGCAGCTAGTCTGCCTATAGTTTAAATCTATCCTTAATTTTCCAGGTGGTGGGAGTGGGCAGCATTATGATTATTAGGGGCTTCTAGTTTGTGGTCAGCAAGCCATTTCATGCAGAATCAGAGGCATCATGCTCAGAGGCAAGGTTTTCTGTTATAAAGCACAGGTGTCCAAAAATCTCACCACCTGATGCTAATAGGGACAAGGCATACAGGAAGAGATAGATAGACAGGAGATCTGACCAGTCACCTCTGCTGTGCAGATGCGTCTCACCCGACCCAACTGTGTCAAAGTTCAGCTGTTTGTCAGCTCCGCACAGTACTAGGTTTCAGACTTTCTGCCAGACAGTGTCAATACAGAAAACTCTCCAGCAGACACATTCACTGGATGGCTCTAGGAGTGAGCAGGTCCCAGTCCACAGGCTGATGTGGGTGAGGATGGATCTCATACTGTGACTGACAAGTAGGACAACTTCTCTGACAAGTGTCAGCAGGCCCAGGCTGGGGAAGGGGAGCTCTGGCTGTCACTAGTACCAGAGACTTGCTAGAAGGTGACTACCACAAGAACTTCCTGCATGCATGCAGATGTCAGCCACAGCACTGGAGCCAAAGGAGAGAAAACAGCATGAAACCAGGAAGAGGAGTCCTTTCTCCCAGTGCCCTTCACTGACAAAAGGTCAAGTGAGCTGACTGGAGAAGAGATTGTAGGATCTGCTGCCATGATCTCAGAAAGTGCAATGCATATAAATTTGGAGCTTAGAATATTAATTTTTTTTGCTCCAGTAACTTTCTTTATTTTGAAATAAACAAATAAAGGTGGAATTTAGATAAATTTTACTATTTATCAAAGTAATTATTTGTTAATCTAATCATGATTAAAATGCATAAAAGTCCGTTTTGCACCTTGTTTCAACCCCCCCCCTTGTTATTGCCCATGTGTCCTTTGTAATAGTTCCTGCAATCCCTTCACCCTTTTCCCCTACAATCCCCTCCCCGCTTGCCTCTGATCACTGTTAGCCTGTTCTCAATTTCAGTGACTTTGGTTATATTTTGCTTGCTTGTTCGTTTTGTTGATTAGGTGCCTATTTAATTGTGAGACCATATAGTATTTGTCTTTCGCCACCTGGCTTATTTCACTTAGCATAATGCTCTCCAGTTCCATCCATGCTGTTGCAAAGGGTAGCAGCTCCTTCTTTTTTTCTGCTATGTAGAATTCCATTGTGTAAATGTACCACAGTTTCTTGATCCATTCATTTACTGATGGGCACTTGGGTTGCTTCCAACACTTGGCTATTGTAAATTGTGCTGCTATGAACATTGGGGTACATAGGTTCTTTTGGATGCGTGTTTCTGGGGTCTTACGATATAATCCTAGTAATGGAATTGCTCTGTCAAAAGGCAGATCCATTTTTAGTTTTCTGAAGAAATTCCATACTGTTTTCCATAGTGGCTACACCAGGCTGCATTCCTACCAACAGTGCAGTAGGGTTCCCTTTTCTCCACAACCTCTCCAACATTTGTTGTTTGTTGCTTTGTTTATGATGGCCATTCTGACTGGTGTGCAGTGGTGTCCCGTGTGGTTTTAAGTTGCATCTCTCTGATGGCTAGCAATACTGAACATCTTTTCATATGTCTCTGGAACCTCTGTATGTACTCCTCAGAGAAGTGTCTGTTCAAGTCCTTTGCCCATTTTTAATGGGTTGCTTGTCTTTTTAGAGCAGAGTCTTGTGAGTTCTTTATATAAGTTGGAGATCAAACCCTTGTCTGAGGTATCATTGGCAAAGATGTTTACAAGACTTGTACTCAGAAAACTACACAACACTAAAGAAAGAAATTAAGGAAGACACAAACAATTGGAAACATATACCATGTTCATGGATTGCAAGAATTAACATCATCAAAATGTCCATACAACCCAAAGCAATTTATAGTTTCAATGCAATACCTATTAAAGTACCAATGGCATATTTCACAGATAGAGAACAAACAGTTTAAAAATTTATATGGAACTCTAAGTGACCCTGAATATCTGCAGCAATTTTGAGAAAAAAGAGCAAAGTAGGAGGGATCACAATACCTGATACCAAACTGGATTACAAGGCCACTGTAATCAAAACAGCCTGGTATTGGCATAAAAACAGGCACATGGACCAATGGAAGAGAATAGAGAGCCCAGAAATAAACCCAAGTCTCTATGGTCAATTAATATTTGACAAAGGGGGCAGCAGCATAAAATGGGGCTAAAATAGTCTCTTCAATAAATGGTGTTGAAAGAGCTGGACAGCTACATGCAAAAAATGAAACTTGAGCACCAACTTACACCATACACAAAAATAAATTCAAGGTGGATAAAAGATTTAAATATAAGTCATGACATCATTAAAGTCCTACAGGAGAATAAAGGCAGAAAAATCTCAGATATTCCACGAAGCAACATTTTCACTGATATGTCCTCTAGAGCAAAGGACATATGGGAAAGAATAAACAAATAAGATCTCATCAAAATAAGAAGCTCCTGCATGACTAAAGAAAACAGCATTAAAATGAAAAGAGAACCAACCATATAGGACAGCTTTTCTGTTCTTTTGTGTTAATGAATTGCATGGTTTAAAGACCATACTTTTCATCCCATGATTTTCTGACCTCAATTATTTTCAGAATATAACAGGTAATAAGTAATGATGTTGTTCATGGGGTTTCAAAAATTGCACCTACACAATGAGATCAAGCCACATTACAGAATGTCTTTATTTTTGCAAATACAATTTTACTTTAATTTTTATATTTCAATTACAGTTGATACCCAATAGCATTGTAGAGTAGTTTCAGGCATACAACATAGTGGTCAGACCCTTATATAACTTATGAAGTGATCCCTAGTAAGTCTAGTCCCTACTGTGTACTTTATGTGATAATTTGAATATTATTAACTATATTTCCTATCCTTTACATCCTCATGACAATTTTGTAACTACCAATTAGTAGAATTTTCTTTTAGAATTTCTCATATGCAGCAGGGTTGCATATCAACTGAAAGTTTTACAATCTGTTGTTTATTTGTTACCTTTTTTCCTTTTGGTAAGAACAGTTCAGATCCATGTCTGAGTGAACTTCAATTATACAATACAGTGTTTCTGACTGTAGCCACTGTGTGATACATTAGGTCCTTGGGCTTCTTTATCTTCCAAATGAGAGTTTGTACCTTTTTCCAATTTCTCCTTAAATTCTTACTCCAAGCCCCTGACAACCACTGTTCTCTGAATTTGTTATTTTTAAATTTCACCTGTAAATGATACCCTGCAGCATTAGTCTTTCCTCATCTCACTTATTTCACTCAGCAAAATGCCTTCAGGTTCATCCTGGTCATAAGAGAGAAATTTCTTTTTTCATAGCTGAATGATATATCATTGTGTGTGTGTGTATAATTTCTTTTAATCCATTCATCTATTAAACACACTTAGGTTGCTTTCATACCTTAATTATGGTGAATAATGCTTCAAGGAACTTGGGAATACAGATACTTCTTCAAAATAATTATGTCTTTCTTTGGATATATACCCAGAAGTGGGGTTGGTGGACCATATGGTACTTTCCATTATAACTTCCCAATGATGGTTAAGCATTTCCCCTTTTCTTGATACAATATGAGACTGATAAAAAGATTTCCATTTGATACATCCTAGGTGACTCCCATTAAATGATTTATTTCTTCTGAGACTCATGTGTCATTTCTCTTGTGTTTTCAAAACTGTTCTTTGTTCCCTCCGCCATTTTGGTTGTATGACATTTTTAAAAATTATATTTGTTTCTTTCTACATAGTTATAACTACAGTGATACATAGGAAGAAAACAAGTTGGCTTTTGTCATTTACAACAAATATTTCTATTAAAATACAGACAGCTATTTGTGATTAGAGTATGAATTAATGAATAATAAAATGAGTAGCAATTTCACATTTCAATCTCTTACATTATAGTATAGTACAATGTTGTTTAGTGTTTTCTCCTCCTCAGAGACACTTATTTTAATCAGGGGAAATATAAATTCCTTATATGCAAATAACAAATTTAATGCAGTCATTTAAAAACAACAAGGGCAGAGAGATTGAGGAGGTAAGTTTGGGCATTAATATTTGTGATAGTTATCCTAAGTTGAAAATGAAGTCATTCCTCAGAATATTAGTGACAAATATCTTTGAGTACCTATTGCTAATGAGACTTGATTTTATCTTTTTCCATTATAATTAAGAGAGAGGAGTGTATAAATAAATTTAAGTAATGCCAGCATTAACAACACTGTCCAAGATTAGGACTAAAACACCTAAGATCCTCTTAACAAGGCCTAAATTTTCAGTGTTTGTATATTTTAAGGTGGAGGTAAGTTAA